TCACGCAACACCTCTTTCTCCTAACTCTCGTTTTACTAATCCTCTTCTAAATCTAACCCCTTCATTGGATTCGCCCTCCTTAGAAACCCCTGGTTTGTATCCTCCCTAACCTGTTTTCATCACGAAATGGGTGGGCTCTATGCTTTTGTTTTTACTTCTTCTCCTCCCATAGCCATCTCAGCGCAGTTCGCTCTCCCCTTATTGCCTATCCTACTAACCTACCACCTAATCCGACATGACTAACACGCTCGCCCGGGGCAAACCCCCCCGAAACCACCTTCCGCTTACCTAGAGCCGTAGACTAACGCGAGCGCTCTCCGTTCTCCAACGCGCCCAAGCCTCTCCGCCTCGCCATCTCCGTTCTTCTTTCGTCAGATGTACCCGGCACACTCCCTTGACTAGGTTCTTTTTTTTTTTCTTTTTTTTTTTCCGTCCTCGTCTGCGCCTCACTGGCCCGTCGCCCGTTGCCTACCGCCCGATGCTAGCTCCGCTGTTTCTTATCCCGCGCACCTGGTACGGCCCCCCGTCCAGATCCACCCCGCCTGGTTCCTCATGCCCAAAACCCGTCACCCTCTGATACAGCGCTGCCCGTTGTTCCCCATCGGCTTACCGCCGACCTCCTAGCGCGAGCCGTTGTGGCAGCGCTCTGGCATGGCTCCCGCAGGAGTGAATGAATAGCTGGGCACGACCTCCCAATCTATACTTCTGGAGCTCGCTGGTCTGCCCGGTACCGTACGACCAGCTCCTGTCCCAGCGCCCTTTCTCTCCCTGCTTACTCGGCTCGTCCGCCTTAGCGCTCTGCCTGTCGCCTAACCACCGTAGTGGCCCGGCCTAGTCCTCTATCGGCCCCGGCCACTGCGCTCTCCCTTTTTGCGCACGCTCCCGGCGCCTGGCCTCGCCCCGGTTCACCCCTGTCTGTGCTGCCCTACCCGCTCGCAGTGCCTGGTAGGTGCAATAGCCCGTTCGCATAGCTCAACAGTCCCGGCCTCTCCGCTCCTTTTTAAGGCAGGGCCCGCCACCACGTCGGCCTTGCAACAGATAAGCCCCACCTTAGTTCCCCCCGACACTCCGGCAAGGTCGCAGATGCGGCCAGTTTGCAAGCCTAAGTGTGGCCTAGGTAAGAACGGGTCCCATGCCAGCCTCGGTAGTAGTAGCAAATATTCAAATGAGAACCTTTGAAGTCAAAGTGGGGGACGTTTTTTCCCTGCAAGTGGCCGCGACAGTTTGCGGTCCTTGCCCCGGTACGATGTATTAGTGCGCCTAGGTATGACCCACCATCTACCGGGTCCCACAAGCCATACTCACACTCAAGCCTCTCACGACAGACCCTGGCCGGCAGATAGTGCATCCGCGGCAACCCACGCCACTCAAGGTTTTCTCGCGCCTAGCGGGCCTACCACCCATGACCCGTATGTATGTTAAACTCCTCGGTCCACGTTTCAAAACAGCCCAAGTAGAAAAGCTTCGTCGGTGTTCCGAACACATGGAATTCGGTAGGTCAATCATATGATGCGTGTGCTCAAAGTCCTCGAACGTTGTAATGACCTCTAAGCCTAGCGTCGTAATAAGTCAAAAGAGCGCCGGAGCATACCAAGAATAATAATAATACGTTTAACAATCAGAGATCTCTAGTCGTCAAAGTATAACGAACGAAGGGAAAATAAAGCGCCAATATTGCTTTCACGCCTGCCGATGGCAAAACCAAGGGGGATAGCCAGGCGGCCCTCCACCCCATCGGCTCCCTCCTCGATGTTCCACTGCCGCCGCGCCAGTGTAGGCTGGCCTCGATCCCGGAACCTCCTTGGTGTCAGTCCAATGTCGTAACCTATAGGGCTAAGCTCAAGCCTGAGACCAATATCCGCGGAGTGCCATATAAGAAGGAGCGGCGCTGCGCTCAGGGCCAGGGAGACTAGCCTGAGCCTCCTCTCTGCCTACAACCGTGCGCGCGGCCGCCCAGCGTCTGCGCCGACTTACCCAGCTGTACCAGGGCCGCCACTCGCCCCACTCCGCGTGCTAAGACCTACCGCAATCACACTGTCGCCGTCGTCGTCGTCGCTCGTAAACGCACGCTCGCCTCGGTCAAAAGTACCAATCGGAAGAGGATATCCCTAGTTCCTACTTAATCAAAAATAAATAAATATCAATAATATCATTAACCAAACGACCGATGTCCACGTCGGCTTTATGATAAAAAAACAAAACAGAATCACGCGCGCCTTAAACCTGCGTGCCCATGCACTCTCTATTATAGTCAACCATCAATGTAAGTCACAGGCGCAGCCGCGCCTAGCGCGGTAGACTTAAACTTTAAACCAAAACTACTTTTCTGTTACTTGCAAAAAAAACAGGGCGGATACCCTCGTAAGGGTATTCGCACCAACAACTTACCGGACCACATTAAGCGACGTCCCCGTCGCTTCGCCAAATCAGAAGGCTATAAATCTATCTACACTCCAAATGCTGACGAAACAGGAACCAATCCGATTAGCTGACAAACACAAGGTAGAGGCCTCCATCAAAATATGCCTCCACAACTATATGCTGCCAGGTTTCTAACCTGGGTCTCTCACCGCCCATAAATTAAGACGCTGATAGCATAAGTTCCAAAGACCTTCCCAATCGTCCTCTCCCCGGTCCTAGACAACCTTCGGCTTCTCGTTGGGTGTCCCTAGTCCTGGCAAAAACTAGGGACGCGGGCCTTAATCGAGACCTTTTGAAAGCACTCTCGCCTTCCTTCTCAAAATCTCTCGCAATCAAATACACATAAGTATATATGTATACTTAATATCCGCTCAGCTCTTTTTGGTAGGTCTCCACCTTGGCCCACCATAGCCTGGCTGATCGGACCAGGACCACAGTTCACCACATTGTTATTTAGCGGCAGTACCCTCGTTGGTTACGCAACGATGTGTTTTTCTCCTGATAAGCATTCAATCAAGATTTCCCCCAAAAATCATCAACCATCACTATCCCGTGGAGTAATTTTCACTGGGGCGGGCACCCCCCCTTAAACTCTTACCCACGAGGTCCCACAGCCGGGTTGCGCCGGCTAGCAGCCATCCAATGGGGTTACGCCCTAGAGGTACTAACTTCTTTTCCGTTAGCTTGACCTTTCTTCTATATGTCTCAGAATTAGCACCTGTGGTTAGACGGGGCGTCGCAAAACAAAATCACTGGCCCACTACGCGATACGCAGGGGTCCGAAGGCATTTACCAGCCCTCCCTCACTAGGCATGGCATCCTTCGCACGCTTAGAAACAAAATCACCGCTAAATCCACCAGGTCGTGACTCCTGACTTGATCAGAGTCAGCAGCCACCCACCCTGAGACATCTCTCGCCCTGCACTCATTGCGACTTTCTCAAACATTCCAAACAAAAGTGGTCCTTTGCGTCAGACTTTTATCACTCATCAGACAACTTTTCATGCCATAAATCAGTTTACTCACTTTTGAAGGTGAGTCTTCCAACAACAATAACAACAACATCCCATTTTCCAAAAATCCAAGGGGTTCTCATCATAAACAAAACACCCCCTCTTCCAAAAATCACGAGGGGTCTCGCCACAGAAAAAAAACACCTCCTCTTCCAAAAAATCACGAGGGGTCTCGCCACAAACAATACACTCTCTCTTCCAGAAATCACGAGGGGTATCGCTATAAAAACCAAACTTCCCGTCCTCAAAACTCGAGGGGGTCTCATCATAACACACAACATCACAAAACATCCCCTTTTCCAAAATCCAAGGGGGCTTATCATAAACAAAATCACTGAGAGACCATCTTATGGATGGGTCCTCATCACAACTTAAGCAATCAATAATCAACATGGTAAGCATTTTGAGCCTCCAGGGCTCGTAGATCTTCAAAATCCTCACAACCTTTCACAGACGTGCTGCGCTTCCTCCCCTTCTACTCTGCCCCTATCAGCTGCCCGTGGGCAAGTCGCACAAGTATACCGAGGAGTAGACATTTTTGCGTACAATCATATTCACAGTACCCATGACACATAAAAGGTTTTTCACACATTGTTGACACAAATTCATCATACATCAGAGCACAACCACACATGTGAGAGAGACAAGTGATCGTCACATATAAAAATGGTCCCTGAAAAAACCTCATCATAATATACACTCAGGGAAATAAAATGTCTCACTCATAGCTCACTCAACTCAAGCCACACCAAACTCACGCTGACAATTATCCCTAAAATACATGTCAGATCTGTCTCTCAAAGCCAGGGCGTAGGCCACCTAAATATGTACATGCCTCATCTAGATCATCCTGATCCTCAAGACCCGAGCTCAGTAGGAACACTAGAGTTCAGATCTAGACTAGTAGCAATCATCAAAAAAGGTCCTCTAAGTCTAAGAGGGTATCACACAGAACCTAAGTTGATGCCTCACAAGATATTCGCCCACCTACATAGAGAAACCGGCCCTACCTCCTCAACTCCTCCTGGTTTTGCCTATATAACTGAGCCCTAAATCCATCTGCGGACTTCTCTACTATCCTACCCTGTCTATCATACATTTTACCCCCTGCCTCTGAGACCTTCCCTTCTGCCTTATCCTCAAGGAACTCGAGACAGTCCAGAGTCAGATGCACGCCCCTCTTGCAGTAGAAGCATAGCTGATCAACCTTCCTCTTGAACTTCTTCTTCCTGGGATGAGGAGGTGGCGATGAAGGAGATCCTACCAAGGTACTGACCACCCCCTGATGCTTTGATAGAGGGGTTGTGGTACTAACAACCTCCTGCTGCTCCATCCCAGGAACCGGTCCCCCAGACCCAGATCCAGTAGCCCAAGATCCCAGTCTGCTCCTCAAATCCCCTGTCGCTGGGACGTACTCAGGCGTGTCCAACCTCTGAGGTCTCCTCTCGAGTGTCTCTCCTGGCACTGCCATGGGCTGCTCCTCAATCTCCTCTGGCTCATACTCAGGCGTGCCCAACCTCTGGAGCCCGCCCTCGATGGCACCCTCCGCCTTAATCCCCATCTCTCTCTCAAGAGGCTCCTCTATCCTCTGCTCAGGTGAAAACAAACTCACCTCCTCCTGCATAGTATGCACCGCCTAAAGGAGCACACCCATGGATCCCTCTGCTGAGCCTTGAGTCGGCTCACTGCTAGATGGTGGCCGCCCTTCCTCTACTGCCAAAGGTACGACTGGGCCCGCCGCCGCCACTGTCAACGTCGCGAGCTTGGTAGGGGCTCTGAACTCGAATGCCTCTCTCTCTGCCTGTCTCTGGGCTCTCGCCTCCTCTGGCTCCAGGATAACTCTCCCCATAGGTGGCTCCTGGCGAGGCTCTACTGCAGATAGCTGTCCTGGCAATCCCTGTCCTGAATGCCTTTGCTCGCCTGCCCAGATGCTCTCTGGCTTGTCCACCTTTCCCTGAGTTTGTTGCCTCAGGCTCTCAATGATAGCTGCCTGGCTGGCCACCAATGCCCCGAGTTCCTGGATTTCCATCTCCATAGCCTCCAGGCGTACTCCATGGCTTGCTTCCTTTATTTTCTTCCCTACCAGATCGCCCTCCAATAACAAGTGTCGGTCACAAGTTGTTTTGGCCAGGAACTTGATTTTTCGATCCAATCTCTCTTCCGCCTTTCTTGCTACCCCAAACCCGGCTCTGACTGGCGAAGGAAGCTCCTCTCCTGTCTGCTCCCAGAAGTCCCTCCACATCTCAGGGATCTCCGGGGCCCTAGCTGCCGCGCTGGGTGGCTGACCTGGGAGTGTTCCTGCTGCCTCCGATTTCTGCCTCTCCTGCTGCTGCTCTAGAAGCTCCCCCGCTGCCTCCAATCTCTGCCTCTCTTGCCATATCTCGTCTATCCTCCTGGTTCTTCTCGCCCTCTTTTCCTCTGCTGTCTCTCCAGCTGGCGCCCTTTCCCTCATGCGGAGGTCGACCCTCTTCGGGATCTCAGCTTCCATCTCCTTCTCGGGTTGACACGGCTCCTGGCATGGCTCTTCAGGTGCTGGCTCTTCCAGGTATGGGTGCTCCACGGCATAAGCTGCTAGGTGTCTGTCAATCAGGGTCAAGGCTTCTCTCCTTACGGCTGCCCTCTCTCTCCTCCTTTCTGCTCTCCCTTCTAGCGAAGGGTCTTTTCTGATGAAGGCAATGGGGTCTCCTCTCTCTGCAACCTCTCCCCTGCCTGGTGAGTGCTTCCCGGTGCATCCCCGAGTCTCAAACCCACTGTTGGCGTCTGAGCGGGCGTGTCCTCTCCAACCTCTATCACTTCCTTCCCTACACGTCTCCCCTTGTCGCCTAGCTCTCTCTCTCGCTGAGTATCCTGGACCTCCTCCTGTGGCACCTCCTCTCGTGGCACCTCCTCTCGTCGCACCTCCTCTCGTGGTACCGCCTCCCGTGGCACCTCCTCCTGTGGCACCTCCTCCTGTGGCACCTCCTCCGCCTGCTCTCCATGCTCCTCACCTCGAGGCGACGCCCTCCACTGAGAGATATCCAAATGCGTCTCCAACTCCCTCAAAGGCCCCTCAGATGCTGGCGGCTCCCCCTGTGTGCGTGCTGGCGACCCCCTCAATCCACCCTCGGCAAACCGATGGAACTCCACTGGTCCCAACCCACACTCAGGGTACGCGCCTCGTTCCTCAGCCTCTGGCTCCGGCTCCTCCTCTCTCCTAGCTAGGGTCTTTCGTCCTCCTCGAGACGGTCTCGCCTCCCTCGGCTTAGGGTCCCTCTGCCTCTGACTCCTCTGACGCCTCTCGACTCTGGGCTGAGGGGGCTCTGGTCGTCGAAAGGCCTCTCTCAGATGTGCCCTGCTGCTCTCCCAGTCCCGGGCCATATCTCTGACCTGCTTAGCGGTGGTAGCTTTGGAGGACATACTGAAGAATGCGTTGGAACTTTACAACATCCGACCGCCCGACCAAAGCTTGTTCCACCCACTCCAACCACTCTGAGACTCTCTCCCCACAAAAATGGAAGGTATCGACTTTAGGAATATTGTTCGGGTTCCTTTCATGCCGGTCAATGGCCGCAATGAGGTCATCGAGCGTCAGGCCCTTCTTGGGACCACCCGATGCGCCGCCGCCCTACGACATCTTGACATGCCTTTCTCTTCAAGCTCCTTAATAAGAAAGGAAAAACAAATAAGCATACCTCTTTTATTCAGCATTGCACCTTGGCCGGTCTATTCCATCCGTCCTACCTAACTCTTACTACGTACCTTTACCCAATGCTGCATGTTCGCCCTTCATACCTTCCCTTACTCAGGTACGTAAACTTCCTCACCCATACTTAGTCATTCATTATCTTTCCTCACCCTTTCGTCCTTCCTTTATACCTTTTCTCATTCACTTCCCATACCCGGATGTCGTTCCACCTGGTACAACGGTAGGCTTTCCGTTATCCCCGGCAACGGCGCCACCTGTCGAGCGCATCGGTCCGGCACCGCACTAGGGCAGCGCAGGACCCTCCCGGCCTCGTCACGCAGGAGTTGATTTAAATCCTTCGTCGCAGATAATACATATGGATCTTCCTTAAGCCGCTCCGGCCGAGTGCGCCAGCCATACCTCTCGCGAGCCCCTACGACAGGATAGGGCCTACGCCAAGCACGACTTACCTACACCTTACGGAAGCTGTCACCTCCCTTCGGTGGGCGTATCCCCGCCGAGCTACCAGTCCACAATACGAAAGCTAATCAGTTGCAATCGCAGAGGTGGACCAGCCGATTGCGTTTCTCGTTCGTTGTAGCATAGGGGGTACGCGCGGTAATACGCCTCTATCACACCCGCACGCATACCAGCATCTTGGGGGGGCTGAGGTCCCAAGTGCGACCCGTCGTCGGTCGACTAGGACGCATCCCACACACCACGCGCACACCACTCTAACAAACACCAAAAATAAAACACGCGCATACATACATGTACGAAACGATACAACACAAATGACGCGACAACGCTCCTAGCCCCTCGGTATCCAACCCATAACTTTCCAACGCGGAAATCGGGTAAGCGTCGCGCGCGAGACTTAGTATAAAACGGCACGGACACTGGGCCTACTCATATCGACTTGCAATGCAGGCATACGCAAGCAGTCACAGTGATGGCGTACTATGTNCGAGACTTAGTATAAAACGGCACGGACACTGGGCCTACTCATATCGACTTGCAATGCAGGCATACGCAAGCAGTCACAGTGATGGCGTACTATGTAGTGCCCATAATCAAGCAGTCCCTCGTGGATCCGAGTACCGCTTATGACACTCAAGTGTCAGACTCGAAGTGTCGTGAGGGCCTAACCCTTCACGACATTGCACAGCTGAAGGAATAGCCGTGCAGCCGCCGCGACACTTCTGGCTCTCGGCCTGAGTGTCTCGGTAGGCAATCGAATAGGCTCTGCGCTAGGGAAAAACCCCTCCCTTGCAGAGCTTGGGCCTTGGGGTGTCCTGGACTAGGACCTCGAATCCCGGCCCAGGACCAAACGTCCGACTAAGAAAAATCATCAAAAAGCAAGAACAAAAATAGAAGGAGAGGTCTCCCCTAAGCTCCTCAGGCTCAGCTTCTGAGTAGAACTTTAGTATGGGGGCTCTTCAACCAATGCAAACATTCATCCCAAGTATACCCATGTATACATATATAAGGGTTAAGTATGTGACGATCACTTATCACGGTCTCACTGGTGTCTCTCACAATAATACGTCAAATCCAAAATCCGATTCACAGCACATACCTGCAATCACATCAACAAACCAAATCAACAGCCCACACACTACACGGAGTCAACCCCAACCACCTTCGACACTCATACCGCTCGTTTTAGCCATGCAAGCCCCAAACCTTCTGTCCAACCAACTTTAATTAAATACTCAGCACCTTTGTTAAATGGTTATTCAATAAAAGTCCGGGTGAAACCTAAATAAAAACAACGAAATCACCAGGGCTGAAGCCTTTTAGGTTGAGTGTGAAGGGAGAGTTGAAATTGAGTCGTAGACCGACGAATCGGCAACCAACCTGTTATCAATGATAACAGAAAGTGATCCTCAAGGGATCAAGCTGGATCTAGCCCTTAACTTGAATCAAATGATCAAAAAGACCTGTAACACACCGCAGACTAATCCCCAAGCTAAGATCATAAGTGTATGGAGAATACAACTCCATAATACATCCTCACTCAAAATTTCCCTATAAGCTAAGCCTAAGTCCACCTCTAAGCTAGTGCTTAAGTCAAAGCTAGACCAACTGCAGAATCTTCCCTATTCAGGGCGGATCGCCCGAATCGCCACCTGTCAAAATACAGTCCATCTCCTCTAAACTAAGAAGATTTCGGCAGCGCTTCCCGTAGGAAAAGTGTCTTTCCAAAATTTATATAAGCTCAAATATAACGCAGAAATAATCTCTAAGTCTGGAAAGTCAAATTCTGTCTAACTCTCTGAATTAGTAAAAATTTTGGCATCACTCCCTTTAGAAAGGGAGGCTTCCCAGATTTATACTAAGTCAGATTTGAACTCACAAAACAACTTGAGTTTAACGTCGACAAGATTTTTAACTAACTCCTCAGTTTTTGTAACTCCCTGATTTCATAAAAATTTGGGCAGCACTCCCTCTATAAAAGATGATTTTCAAGATTTATACTAAGCTAGATATATGGGAAAGACAAGTTGAACTTTGACAAGTCAAAAGTTGACTAACTTCTTTGATTTGTAGAAATTTCGGCAGCGCTTCCCGTAGGAAAAGTAGCTTGCCAAGATTTATACAAAGCCAAGTCTAAGAAAAAAATTTCAGAAAATGCAGGAATTGACCTAAGTAAAAAAAGTTAATACAGAAAATGCAGGAATTGACACTAACTCCTATGACTATAGCACGTGGCGACCAACTAAAGCAACTACCTATAGTACTGAAACCCAAACAAACTAACCATCTTATTCAGTCACATGCAAACAAAACCACGAATGTAAGTACTCTCACCATCCCAGGTTCATTCCATATAAACAGTTCGTGAATCTTCAAGTTCTTGAATCCTTATACCCGTCTTAAATAAGACATAGAGCTGGACCATTTACCATGGAAACAATGCCCAGCTTGTCTTTATGATATACACGAACAAATTTCACAAATATTTCTCTCTTCTTTTGGGCAGATGACCAGGCCATTCGCCATGGAAACAATGCCTAGTAGCCCTGAGCTGTTTTATATCCAAAGATTTAGTATCTCTCTGACTTTGTTTTTAAAAAAAAGGGCGAATATGGGCAGGGGACTGAACCATTCACAGTAGAAACAATGTCCAGCTTGCCCAAACTGTTTCCATTTATATTTTGTATTTTCTCTTTTCTCTTCTTAATGATATGGCTTAAAGTTGGACCATTCACAGTAGAAACAATGCCCAGCTGCAAGTTCACATGCAAATATACATGAAGTACTTTCTTTTATACTCAGTTAACTTTATGTGCGTTGTTTTCAGGCTAAACCATTCACCATGGAAACAATGCTTAGCCTTAGACAAAAAATCCTCCCTCAGAATAAACAAGAATTTAACCCCCTTCAATCAGGCAAACCACGGAGTTAACTAGGGTAGCCAGGTCATTCACAGTAGAAACAATGTCTGGTTCCTCAGAAAATAATCAAATAAACACAGCGACTTGGCCATTCACAGTAGAAACAATGCCTGGTCCTTCGGAAAACAGCCAAATAAAATATATCCCCGAGTCATTGACAGTAGAAACAATGCTCAGGCTTTGGTTGACCCTTCCAAACGCATGCAAAACTGCCTTCCTCCCACCTTCCCCCAGTTTATCCTTAGTCTGCTCTCAGTCAAAACAAAGATGAAACTTAAGTTTCACTCTCACACATTCTTTCCATTCAATCTGATTAGGTCCTGAAGAGAAAGCAATAATCATAGGGACAAACTCATGCATACATCAATCATACTACAGGGAGATAGGCCAACATGGGTAATAGCGGGTTATACAGATAAAGATGATTTGCCTGAAGGTTTCCTGCCTCCAGAACCTCGCCTAGGTTCCGGCAGAGCTCCCGCAATCGGTGGGTGGACTCCCCACAGAGTCTTGATGCGGACCTACGAGTTGCAATCCCGCCTGCCGCCTTCCTCTCAGAACCACAGGATTAGATTTAGAGTGAGAAGGGTAGAAGCAGAAGGTTTAACACTCTCACATACAAGAGGGGTGCTCTCAATCTCACTGGAGAGGGCCTTGTTATATTTGATCGCCTGAGGGCCCCGCAATGGTAGCCAAAAAAACAGCTTGGTCAAACGTGCCAACCTGCTGGAATAGCCCTCCCTGACGAACCTTCGTTTCTCAGCGCCTGTCTCCTTCCCCAACTCCCAATACTTCTTTCTAACCCAAACACCGCCGTATGGCGGTTAGCAAAAAATTGGTAGTACAGCAACACTCCCGCAGCAAAATACAGCAGCACAGAGTAATAGCCGGCAGTAAAACGCAGTGTCGTAGTTCACGGTCCGTGGTTCTGTAGCCTACAGTCCGCATAGTTCATAGTCTGCGGATCTGTAGTCCTTAGTCTATAAACTGTAGTCCACTGTCCGTAGTCCACAGTTTGCAGTCTGTAGTCCTTAGCCTGTTGCCCTACAATCCACAGTCTCACATAGATATACAGTCCGCAGCTTCACACCCGCCTGCAAATAAACCAACAGTTTTCTCCTTGTCTCCCTCTCTCATGTTGTGTTTTCATCCCCAGTGGGAGTCAACTACGAGTCACACCTTATGCAGGTAAGTATTCTACTTCCTTCGCCCCCTTCTTACAGCACCCGAATGCACCCTGCCACCATACGCAGCCAGGTTCATTTAGTCACGAATCCGAATGCAGTAGTATCATCAGCAGGGAGAATTCCCCACGGTGCTGGAGTACAACCATGCTGTGCTCTACAGTCG